CACACACACACACACACACACACACACACACACACACACACACACACACACACACACACACACACACACAAGCCGAAAAAAGGCATGGCGCACAGTGCGCACCCTTGCACAGTAGCGCATCTCCATGCGCTGCGCACACGGCGCACAGCGTGCGCATTCCGCAGGGCGCACCGCACCGCATGGCGCACCGCACCAGTGCGCCGCAAGTATGATATATTTTTAATCTAGGTTACCAGACTGGCCCGGGTCCGCTTGGCCGGCCGGGCCAAAAAGAAATAAAAAAATGGAAAATAAAAACCATTTTTAATTAAATCTATTTTTTATTTTAAATTTGGTAAAGAATGTCGATGTGACCCTGAGGCAAAACTTGTTCAGACTATTTTTCTGCATAGCATAGTTTTTTTTTCCGGATTTTTTGGATTTTTTTTTTTTTTTTTTTTTTGGCTGGTACCTTCTCTTGTAACGAGCGTGAGGCTGAGGGTGAGCCAAGAGAGAGGAGAGAGAGGGAGAGAGCGAGAGCACACACACACACTCACTCACTCGACACGTCGGACTCGGACTGAATATCGGACGCAGACACAGTGGCAAGGCACCAAGTCGAAGTCTTGGATTCCGAATGTCGAAACAGCAAGTCACATTGAGTACGAGTACAGCATTAGAGAACTGGTACGAGACTGGTCCCCGTACCGTACGGGGAGCCGGTATAAGTACCGGTGACACGTACGGTACCAGGGGCATTTCTGCAAAGGCGCCGAGGGCAGAACTGAAAAATGCAGTATTTGAAAGTGGCGCCCGAATTGCAGCATGGCGCCAGTTGTCCAAAATCCTACGGTACCAAAGGAGGGGTTTGGAAAAAGGGYGCCAGGCCGAAAACGGGATGCAGCTGAAACAGCAAAAGATAGACCAGGGATCGAGCCCTGGCGGAGTCCGTAACATCTCTGGTCCTTGCACGCCCGGGCCGCCCGGGGAAATAGGGTGACTCGGGCGGCCCGGCTGGTGGCCTAGTATATAATATAATTTTTTATTTTATTTTTAATTGGGTAAATAACATACTTGCGGCGCACTGGTGCGGTGCGCCATGGGTTGCACGTGGGCCATGCGCCTTGCGCAAATTAGCGCTATGCAAATGATGTGCGCATTTTTTTTTTGTTATTATTTTTTTTTAATGTGGGGTGTCTCTCTATAGACGTGCGCGCGCGCGCGAGAGAGAGAGAGAGAGAGAGAGAGAGCAGGCAAAGGTCCTCTTTCATGTAAAAAGGAGGGTCACTGCAAGGAATCTGAGGCGTCCCTCCACTAAGTAAGCGAAGGTCCTATCACCAGGCAGGGGTGGGCACTGTATTTGCAGAACCAAGAACGGGCCATGAATATATAGTGTGAATTTGAATTCAGGTCTATGTTTAAGCAGTTATGGTCTGCTAACTTAGCTGGGCTCTGCACGTGATTCTCAGAGCTTCTCACTGAATGTGCAAAACTAGAATGAATATTCCGCTTGAACATGGAACCATACGCCGCCATACGTTTCGTCTTTTGTGCATGCAGTGAGTAGTGGACCGAGATTTAGGGCCACTCCACCTATTCCTAAGAAAAGAAAAACACAAAAAACTTGGAAAAAGAGAATCGCGTGCAGAGATCTGGCCTAGCGCAGTTAGTAACCCATAACTGCTCCACAGACCTGAATTCAAATCCAGAGCATATATTCGGCCTGCCCACACACTGCTCACACTTCAATGACCATCTCTACTTTATGATGCGCTCTTGCCAGTTTTCTGCAAGGGTCCTTTGCAAAGGAGATTGGAAAATCGAACATGCATACACAGTTTTTAGGTTTACCGTGGCCCCGTTTTTTTTTTTCATTTGCACTCTGAATTTTTAGAAGGGAGGGGGCGTGTTTGGTCATCACACCCTGCCCTTCCCGAATTTTTTTACTGACCCCTATTTCGGGGATGCGCCACATCACATGCGCTGCATCACCTGCGCCGCATGTGCCGCGACCCCGCGCACGGGATGCGCCACAAGTATGGTAAATAGTTTTGATGTGACCCTGAGGCAAAAGTTGTTCAGTTTATTTTTGTGCATACCACTGCTTTTTTTGTCAGATTTTTATCTTTTTTTTTTTTTTTTTTGGCGGGCCCTTACGAACTTGCACGGCTGGGCCGCCCGGTCAAACAAGGTGGCCTGGGTGGTAGCCCAATATAGAATGATTTTCATCCGTTCTTGTCAAACATTGAAATTCGAAAATTTTAGACTTTATTAAAAAAAAAAAAGAAAAAAAGATGTGTTAGGGCATTATCAGGTAAGGGAGGAGTTGTGTGTTTTCACTGTCAGTGGCGATTTCTTGAAGATTGGATGCTCGTGATGTTATCTTCCGCCGAACCTTTTGACATCAGAGGCGAAACCTAAAACTGGCAAACTGCAGAATTTCCATAATAGTCTTGCCGTCTACAAGGCTACAGAATCGTACAGATTGCATTTGTTTGTTGTAACGCAGACAATGGGCCTCACTCCAGTACTCACCACATGTACAAAAGACGAAAAACAAATGGTGGTGTATGTTTCCATGTTCTTGAGGAAAATTCATTTTTCATTTTGCACATTTTTTTGAGTAGTGGAGCTAGGCCCAATGCATGATGCCATAGATTGCATTTCTTTGAGCTGAGACAATTCATGATGCTTGCCAGGAATTGGATTTCTTTAATGATTTTATAAAGTATAATCCAATAAAAAGGTCAATTATTAATCCCAATTATCCAATTAATATGGCAATTATTGAATTTCCTTCTTTTTTTTTCCAAACTCTTTCTCCCTCCTCCTTCCCCCTCTTGATTTGATCGGGTATGCTTTTGTCTATGGTTGCAGAGATCTTGCCAGGGAAGCAAGCCAACGTCAAGAGGATATAGGTGCGGGGTAGCGTATGCCATTTCCAGCCCTCCTAAATGCATGACAGCGCCGTGGTTCATTGTAGTTTTTATCCTTTTCTAAGTTTTCTACCCCTCTTACCGACGGGCCTAACTCAGTTGGTACACTCATGAAGTGGCATGGACTGTTGATTTACAGACCCAAGTTCAAATCCCAATGTCTGCTCAGGTGAGCGAAACAGAATAACGAAGTTTTCTACCCCCTCTGTCGCCGGTTTGCTGGGCAGTTCCCACAGCGAACTGCCCAGTAAATCGTCTAGTCAGAAGGGGGGAAAACTGAAAAAACCATGTTTTTTTTTTGGTCGCAATGGCCTGTTTTCTCTCCTGTTTTCCACACTGTGAATGGGGTTGGCTGGGTCATCCTTTAGGACCGTGCATATGTGGGACTTGGCTATTGTCCTTCCCCGACTATAACGCACCCTGAAAATGTATGCATCATAGTTGCGGTGCACCTCGGTGAGCGGATTTGCGCACGCATTGCGCACCCTACAGCGCACCCAAGCGCACCGTACTGTAAAAATTAGGTCCCAAAAAAAAAAGAAAAAAAAAAAGGTAGGGGTTTTGTCATTCCTTAGGGTCCCCAACTCGACAAAAATGTTAAACGCACCGCAAACCGGTCGCGCCCCCGGCCCAAACTTCTTGTTTGGGCAAGGGCTGCCGAATTTCAATTTCCGCAGGTCCTACCCCCAGAAGTTTCAAAGCGGCAAAGCATAAAATAGGGCTCATTCCAACTTTTTCGCTGGGCGGGGTATGGAAACTGGACTTCCCCCTCCCTTCTGCAAATCCCACGCAGTGGTGGGGTAAGTTCGCAAGAAGGGGGTAGTCGCCTACTAACGACCTGCCCCGCGAACTTCGCAGAAGTCACAACTTGCATTTCCACGGCTGGCCGACCACCAATATATGCTGAAAATTGGCGTTCAGGTCTGCATGTAGGCAGTTATGGGTTAGGATGAAGATGCCCGCAGCTATCTCGGTTTTTTGTTTTTGTTTTCTTATGAATACGTGCAGTGGGGCCTGCTCCACTACTCACCACATGCACAAAAGACATAGCATATGGCGGTGTATAGTTCCATGTTTTAGCAGAAGATTCATTCTACTAATATTGTATACATTTGGTGAGTGGTGGAGGGAGGCCCTGAGAATCACGTGGAGACACGAACAGGCCCTAGCTGAATTGGTGACCCATAACTGTCGAGCTACAGCCTTGAACTCGAATCCAAAGCATATATTGGTGGTCTGCCACACCTGTTCCATAGATGACGAGACCATCCTCCTAATTGAAGCAGTGATCCTTGATGACTCCACATGTAACGTAGGAGTTATTCGAGGTACCTGCAGGGCCCCTCGAATTGACGTGAAGGGGACCCTTTGTTATCTCTATTCCCTCTCTCTCTCTCTCTGTGGGGCTTTTTTTTTTTTTTTTTTTTAATATCGCGCACAGGGCGCACCTCCCTCAGCGGGCGTACCGCGCACAGCGGACCGCACTGAGCACTGCACGCAGCGCACGGCGCACAGTGCGCATGCTGTCATTCCACAGCACAGCGCAGTGCGCACCGCCCCGCACCGCACTGCGCACTGGTGCGCCGCAACTATGGAATGCATACAAGCTATTTTTCCTGTTCGGTACATCCATAATCAGGGTGTGTTGTGTTCGGGGGATGACGGTAGCTCCTTGTCAGCGAGTCACTGAGCAGGCTTTCAGCAGCATTTGTTGGGCGCTTTTAAGTTTTAACTGTTTTCGGCCACATGATTTCTTGTCCTTGCTACCTTCTTGTCGATCGCTTATGGTCCGGTTCTTTGTGCATATGGGTGTGGGGGGGTCATTTATATACCGGGCGTTTCCTTATGCTTTTAACACCCCTTGTTGTACGTTCAATCTGAATGCATGTGGGTTCACCATGCAGCAGGTGTTCTCTACGTTTATGCCCCCCCCCCCCTGGCTTGCACTGTCTTCTTTAAAAGGGGGTTCATCTCCTAACATTAGCTTATATCCGTCTGATTCAGTCAGAATTCAAACTCCTGGTCTGTGTGGCAGGCAACAGTTAGATCAACATAAAATTCTTAAATGTCTACAGTCCTCTATATACCATTCCATCAGGATTCAAACTGGTTAGAACCCTGGATTTGGATCTCATCTGGATGCATAGACGGTCTGCACGCGCGCGCGCGCGTGTGTGTGTGTGTGTGTGTGTGTGTGTGTGTGTGTGTGTGTGTGTGTGTGTGTGTGTGTGTGTGTGAGAGAGAGAGAGAGAGAGAGAGAGAGAGAGAGAGAGAGAGAGAGAGAGAGAGAGAGAGAGAGAGAGAGAGAGAGAGAGAGAGAGAGAGAGAGAGAGAGAGAGAGAGATCAGCTTTTTTCTTTTTCTTTCTATCTGAGCTTTGGGAGTCCTATATTGCTGAATTTTGCTCATAATTTCTGGCAGACTACAGGAAACAGTGTTTGCAGTATTTTGTGGTCTTTTATTTTTTTTCAATGATTAAGGGTGTGGTGTGGGACATGTTAGCAATCGAAGATTTTAGCTGAACCGCCGTGATGGATGTTAATACGTTATCCTGCGGATTCTGTTGACAGCTGTGGCGTTTGGGCGACTTTCCACTCGCTTGCGGCCCGGCTTGATGACAAGGAAGGGGCGATTTGGCTCAAGGCCGTCCGCGCATTCATGGACAAGTTCTTTACCTGTGACACGTGCAGAGTTCACTTCTTGAAATACAGTGAAAAGTAAGACTCGCCTCGTTTCTTGCTTTCTTCCATCCCTAATCGTTTGTCAGCTAAGATTGAGGGTTCAACTCACTTTCTTCCGCCGCTTTTGTTTGGAGGCAGAGACAATGCTCGGGGTTCGATACAGGGGAGGCAGCTAGCGGACTTTTATATTTGGGTTCTGTATCGAGTTTCTATCCTCGACTTCTTCTGGTTCGTCTTCTTCTACGCTTCGTCTGTAAATGTTTGGCGACGGAGGAGCCCCTCACATCTCTGTCTCTCCTCCTCCTGGCTTCCAGCATGAGTGTGTGCTGACTCACATCCCCGTGACCTCTCGTGGTGTATGTCTCTTCGCACTTGTGCATTGTGATTGGGTCTTCCACTGTCGTTTTTAAGCTTGCCCGCTTCGGATACGTCCATGGCTTCGTGCATCACCAGTGTTCATCATCGGGGTATAGACGGTGTGGATGGACTGAAGGAAAAAGAAACTCCCTTGTTCATTTGTTTTGACTACTAGAGACGTCTCGGTGGTGATGACTTTTTGTTACGCTGGGGTGGCAGTCCTAAATGGTTCGGCTGCCTGCGCCAAAACCCCTTTTTTTTGTTTTTACTGCTATAGATGTCTCGGTGGTGACCAGTCATTTCATTTCAACACCCCAAAAAACCTTTTTTAATCCCTTGCCTGGCCAACGCTTCTGCCTGTGATTGACTGGAGCAGCGACGACCTGAGCTTATTTCCTGTCGCGGACTCAGGGGATGGGTAATGGTGGGGAAGGTGGAAGTGGGGTTATCGTGATGCCGATGATGCCGATGATGCTGCTGATGATGAGGATGACTATGAGCATGTGGCAGAGGTGGTAAATTTGCCTGAGGTGTAGTCGAAGTAGGAGCAGTAGTGATGGAAGAAGGGAGAGGAATAATGTGGTGAGGAATCTGAGGATGTAGATGAAGACAGAGGGGGAGAAGGTAGATGAAGACAACTAAGGAGATTAGAGGAGACAAGTTCTGTACATAACTTGGCCATGCACGATGATGGAACTCGACTTAGAAGAGGGCAAACAACCACAATGAAGGAGGAGGAGCAGGAGGAGAGGAGGAGGAGGAGGAGGAGGAGGAGGAGAACAACGACGAGCGTTTTCTGCTAAATAAAAAAGACAAAAAAAAAGAGGAAGCGGTGAGCATAAGAAGTGTGCGATCGAAAGAAGACTTCAAAGAAGAGAGAGGGGTTTTGCATGCAACTTGGCTGCTCATGATGATGATGGGGATGATCGTGGAGGAAAGGAGGACGAGGAGGAAAAAGCAGCAGCAAAATGGTCAGAACTAGGATTGCAGGGGTCACAGTGGGGCGGGGGTTGTGTATGCAAATAAGGGTGTAAAGGCCACGGTGTTGCTGACGAAAGATGCCTGTTTGTGTGTGTGGTTGTATGGATGTGGTTGTGTGGGTGTTTGGCGACAGTGCTACCATCACGACAAGAAAAGAAGCTGTCCTGTGGTTTTGGAAGACCCATAATATTGTGAGTGTACTGTGACTTTTTCAAGCCTTCCCCTCAACCCCCTCCAACCTTTCCCTCTTTCAGGGTTTTGTGGCTTACATGGGAGAAGCCTCCTCTGGACCTTTCACCGGCGAAGAAGAAGAAGAAGAAGAAGAAGAAGAAGAAGAAGAAGAAGAAGAAGAAGAAGAGTGGAAAACAGTGGCCAACTGCCTTTCGTACACGCATCGAAAGTTCTTGATTACAAATCCGCGCATACTCGTCTCAACTCTCGTGCACATTCCCCGACGCGTTTCGATCGGTTGCGCTCCGATCATCCTCAGGGGACTAACCTCGTGACCCCGCCTTGCGGCCCCACCGTCTACCCTCCCGTCTAGAAGAAGAAGAAGAAGAAGAAGAAGAAGAAGAAGAAGAAGAAGAAGGAAGAAGAAGAAGAAGAAGGCACGGAAACCCATCTCCCAACTCACACACACCTCCTGTCTTCCATCCCTCACTGACTTCCTCTCAGCTTCTGACCTTCAATTGAATAGTGCTGCTAAGGCTTCCAAACGTTTCTCTTTCCCGCTTTCCATTACCCGTGGGACTCGACCCTATCACAGGATCGAAGAGAAGCCGCTAACGCGAAGTTTTAAATCTTAATTGGGAAATACGGCCTTGTAAGATTTACTTGGAGAGCCGTATGAAATGAAAGTTGCACGTACGGTTCGGAGGAGAGAAAAAAGAACAAAGCATTTCGGAACGTCGGAGGCAATCGGATTTGAGAATCGGATCGTAGGATTGACAAGGGCGATTGCAGGAGATGGGGAGTCGGGAAAGTTAGGCCGGGTTTTGGATGTAATACTACTTGGTGTTGGATGTAGCTGTAGCTGTTTCTTTTTTCTATGCACACAGCGATGTAGCAGGGAAAAAGAAAGAAATACGCGAGAAAAAGACCAGAGCGGAGAAGGGAGTGAACTTGGAGAAGCGGAGAGATATAGGGATTAGAAGGGCAGGGGGTAGGACGGTTGAGGGAGGTGGAGGGCGGAATGACATTAGGGATGATAGGGATCACAGGAGCTGGGGGTTCAAGGATGGGATCAGTCCCCTTCTCCTCGGCCCCCTTTGTTAGAGAGAGAGAGAGAGAGAGAGAGAGAGAGAGAGAGAGAGAGAGAGAGAGAGAGAGAGA